CCTCAGAAGAAATTTATGTTCATGAAGGGAAAGTGACGAAGCCAGCCAAGACTCTATTGGACACCAAATCTCTTCCACCCCGAATCAGACACCGGATAAACTTAAGGTAATAATTTCAAAAGCCCTGAAGGTGGCCTAACATGCTGGCGCTCACTCATAGTGCTTGTCAAAGCCACCCTTGTCTGATTATTAGCTCTGCCATGGATCTTCCTGACAATAGGTACAAGGATGAGGGAGATTTACCAAGTGCATTTGAGAAGTCAATGAGAGAGCAAAAAGTCACGTACTGGTGACCTACCCATCTCAGGTTGACTCCATTGCCTGTCTGACATGAGCAGTGCTTTTAATTGACAGATGACACTGACTTCCCTCTTCCACCTGTCCCTACGTGATGATCTTTACCAATGATGATGTAATGGCATCTCAAACTCTTTGCCAAAGGGTGAGGAAGGGATTTTCAAGCTCACTTTTATAAGTTAACACATTGTAAATGTAAAGGGAGGATGAGAGAGCAAATAATCAGTGGTCTACCTTTACCAATGCCACTAACGTCTCTTTTCTTCCCCCACTAGGCAGTACTGTCCTGTGCCATCCTCTCTCTGATCATCCAAATTCTACCCATTAGTTGAGATTCAGCTTGAAGCCTGCTCCACCCATGAAGCCTTCTCTGATCTTCCACCACCACCACTAACTTCATCGATCTATGGAAACACTTGAGCAGACAGGGCACACCTTATCACCTAACTTTAGAATATGTACCGCCTCTTTTCTGAGCCAGTGAGTCTTTTTTTTTCCCTGTCCATGTTGAATAAACTTGAATCAGGAACTATGTGATACAAAAAAGGAGTGTGGTGGAAAAGTGGAAATAATATGGGGTTTAGAGTCAAGGAGAGAGAAGTTTGAATCCCAGATCTACTGTATAGTAGCAGTGTTAGTTAGAAATTGTCTAAAAAAACATAAACCTGTACTAACACTGGCTTATACAAATAGGAATTAATTTTCTTCATGTAACTAAGAGTCAAGCAAAAGCAACCCAGCACTGGTGAAGCTGTTCCTAGATGTCATCAAGACCCTGGACTCTCTTGATTTGATTGCTCCCCTTGGCTTTCATCCTTATGCTTGTAGCCTGACAGTTGCAAGAAGCCTGCTGAACTCCAGGACATTATCTCCAAGTCCTCAGAGAAATAGAAGGGAAAAGGCAATGGTCGTTGAAAAAATAATAGTGTGTTCCAGCTGAGGCGGTCCATTTCTAATGAGGAAAGCAAACATTTCCCTGGAATTTCCATCAGCAGACTTCCAATGACATGCAATTGATCAGACCTGTGTTTAATGGCCTCCACCAGCTGAAAGAGGGCTGAGAAGAAAGGGGATCGGGAAAGCTAAGCGATCTCTTTTAAACTTCAATTTCTAAATCTTGAAGGTAAGAGAAGCAGTACCTGCCTTGTAGGGGTTTCTGAGTATGTGAACAGCACACAGCAGGCATAGAGCACAGAGCAGGTGCTCCATAGTTTAAAGAAATAAATAAAAATATAGTGCAATCATTGACCACCTTCCATGATCTAGTCACAAAAAAAGGAAACACCACTTACAGAGTTTACTTTGAGCTAATAATTGTGCAAAACGCGTGGATAAAAGTATAATTAAAACGTAATCTTTGCCCTCAAGGAAGTAACAACCTAGCAGGAAAAATACATATGTAGACACATAAGTTCGAGGAAATGTGACAAGTTGCTGTGTAAATATATGTGCAAAGGGGAATGGGAGCATAGAGAAGACAAAGACTAGTGGTACTGATTGGGCTTAGGGAGCACTTCATAGAGGAAGTGATAAATGACTGGGACATAAGGAAGTGTAGGAATTGTCCAGGTAAAGAAGAGAGAAGAGCATCCAAGGGGGGAATCAGCATGTGCAAAGGCACACAGATATGAAATAGCAGGGAGGTTCACGGCAAGGCACAACGACAGAGGACAAGCGGAGGTTTAGGATGCTGCACTTTCTACTCAAGAAAATTCTGTGCTAAAATTAAAGTATGTGCCAGGAAGCTTTTGACATGGCTCCCAATGATCCCCAGCCCCTGAAACTCACATCCTTGTGTAATCCCCCCCCCCCCCCCCCCCCCGCCATTTATGGACTGGATCAAATGACTTACTTCTAACAAAGAGAATACAGAAAAAATGGTAGACTATGACTTCCATGATTGGGTTACAAAAGATTGACTTTCATCCTTTCATCTTGTTGGTATTCTTTTCCTCTGTGTGTCTTCTCAAGTGTTTGCTCTGATGGAGAGGTCACACGACAAAGAACAGAGAGCAGCCTCTGGATAACAGCCAGCAAGAAATGAAGACCCTCAGCCCAACGCCCATAAGGAACTGAATCTTGTCAATATCCACGTGAATGGACTTGGAAGTGGGCCTGCTCCATTTGAAGCTTGAGGTGACTGCAGCCCCAGCCAACTTGATTGCAGCCTGTGAGAATCCTTAAAGCAAAGGACCCGGCTAAGCCCTATCCGGATTCCTGGCACACAGACACTGTGAGATAATAAATAGTTATTGTTTTAAGCCACTAGGTTTTGGAGCTAGGTGTTACACAGCAATAGATAACTAGCACAGTTACCAAGATTTTAATAAACACCCATGTGGTACCTCACTATTGGCATACTTTCCATATAAGAAACTCTAATTGATCAAATGATCCTATTATCTTCAGATACAATCCCTGTTCTGATTGGTCCTCCCCACTGCCCTACCCCCTGCTATCCTCCCACCTCCACACACTATCATTGCATGCTCACCAGATTTACCCTCATACCATCCCTACAGTACCAACACTTGACTCCTACAGAATCTACTTTAACTACCACCATTTTCAATAAGTTCTTTCTCTGATCTTTCTAGATATTACTACATTCCTCTGGATTCCTGCATCTTTGGTTTGCAGTTTACTAACACTTGATTCCTTAGTGGATTTTAGGTAGTTTAGTATTTTAGTTTTTGTTTATTTTGGGGTTTTTTTTTTTGTTTTTGCTGAGGAAGATTTTCCCTGAGCTAACATCTGTTGCCAATCTTCCTCTTTTTGCTTGAGAAAGATTCACCCTGAGCTAACATCTATGTATGTGGGTGACTGCCACAGCATGGCCGCCAATGAGCGGTGTAGGTCCACACCTGGAAACCAAAGCTGGGCTGCTGAAGTGGAGCACACCAAACCTAACCACTGGACCATGGGGCAGGCCCCAGTATTTTAGTTATTTTATCCAATGTTTTATCCTCTAAAGTGCACAAGATTTCTAAAAACCATTTTTTACACTCTTTTGTTTTTTTATCCCTCTGAGGCAGCAAAATTAGCTTTCTAAAATTGTTCAAACATACTAATAATGAGAGGATTTCTAACACATAGTCATTCAACTAATATTTATAATGTATCCACCCTACTGCTCTAGGCATCATGGATTTTTTTTAAAATGGCCCCTTCTCTTGAGCAACAAATAATCCAGCAGGAAAAATAATAAATTATTCCAACTGACCTCACTAGTGGGCTCGTCGTATAGGTTCTTTAAGAGAGATACAGGGCATAAGGGCTACAGTTGTCATGGATGGGTTCCCTGGATGCAGACAATGATGAGGAGTTTGGCATACAGGATTTTTGTTAAGCATCACCCTTGCAGTCAAGCCCAGTGGAGAAGGAAGGGAGCAGGAGTGGACAGATGGAGGAATCAAGATATAATATTGGCCCCACAACAGACTCAGTGAACACCATGGGAAGCTCTGGAGCTAGGAGGGCCCTTCAAAGCAGTTCCATGTTGGAACTGCATGACCAGGACTATATACCCTGCTTCAATCATTTATTGAAGGTGGACAGACCAGAAGGGATGTGAACTTGGACGGTTAGCTCTCTCCAGCTGAGGCATCCCTGAAGGGCCAGCACCTGAAGGCTATCTGCCGACAGCTCTCCCAGCAGCTGGAGAAGCATTCCCTTCCTTGAAAGGGGATCCTGGCCTTACAGAATCCACCAAACGTGAGGATGAAGAAACAGTGAGTGTAGACAATGTATTTGCAAGCTTGACTGGGCAGAGAAGGAGAAATGACAGTGACTAGAAGATGTAGGTTTGAAGGAGAGTTTCTTTTTAGTAGTGCTGCTCTGTTTCATTTTTCTATTATAAGATGGGAGAAGCCAGTATAGATGAAAAGATTGATGCTATAGGAGAGGAGGATTTAATTAGCAGAATAAGACAGACTTATTTTATCTTTCCTCCATATCCACACAGAACTTTTTATGCCTCAATTATAGCACTTACTTCATTATAATATACTTAATCTTCCTGGCTCTACTGTGATCTACACAAAAGCAGGGACTCAAATAATTTTCAAATTTTACCCTCTGCATTTAGAACTGTATAGAGCATAGAGTTAACATGTAACTATTGGATCATTGAATTAAACACAAAAAAATGGAAAACCAAACCCCTTGAATATTAGTCTTTAATTAACGTAAATAAGAAGTGTCTAAACATTATCCAGTTTTTTATTAATAGGAATATCCCCTACCCACTGTGTAAATGCATCTTGCTGCTGGTGTGGGGCAGAGGAAAAGACACAGATGTTTCTTGCCATAATTATGTTAGATAATTAACAGACCCAGATTCTGGTGGCCCCCCAGGACCTATCAGTTTGTCAACTCATTATACAAATAAGAAAATCCAAATTAATACATATGCAACCCAGGAGCTTATATATACAATGAGATTTTGAGATATCTCAAATTGTCTTAAAGACTTTCTTCTTTATGATGCCTTTTTTCTCCTTTGAAGTATCTGCTGTGAAAGATGATTAACACACAGCTTATTGGATTGGAAACCAAATAAATCAATGTTGTTTTCTTTAAAGCTAGAAAGCTCACAAGGAACAGTTTTTACAATACTTATTTATCTTTAATAATCTCCAGTGGACAGATCTTTACAATTGATCTGTTGAGGGTCAGCGAAGAATGAGAGAAACTCTTCTTACCGTTATCTTTCATGGGGCCTTCATTTCTGGTGTTGTCTGTTTCCTCTGTGGCTGAAATGAAAAGGAGCATTACAAGAAAGAATTGTCTGTAGCTTTCATTCCTAGAGCACTGGAGGAATGTAAAAGAAGGCGTTATTAATGGAAGAGCATTCCACATTCCCGTAATTCTCCATGGATGCATCTAATCCAGTCTGGTGAGTGATAAAAGAATAGTGATTAGTGAAGAGAATCTTTACTAGGAACCTGTGCAGTATTCACCCTTTGGGGAGTTCATGATCAGGTAAATCTTTGTTTCTATATTGAGGGGTTTGCTAAACAACATCAAAATGCCAAATAGGCTGTTTCATTCCAAGTGTTAGACCCTCAACGCTTACATTTCAAGAAGAAATTGCAATACATAACTGCCACGTATTTGGGGACGTGTTGGCTACCAGTCCTAAATGCAATTTGGGGTTTATCTATTAAAATGAAGGGAACTGTTGAAACTTCTCCAGGATTGCTGCAAGATAGAAATACAGCCAGAAAATCAAGCCATTTTTTATTTAACACATTAGAACTTACGCAAGTTCTTGGCCAACTTAAAGTGGTCTCTTTATGATAAAGTACAAACTTATTCCCACATAGTTGCCATTACTGAGGACATTTGGGGTATCCCTCTTCTGAAATTGGTTTTAGAGCATGAAACACATCTTATTAAGTAGCTTCTGTAGCAGTAACTAAATCTTCATGCTCAAAAGGTGGATTTATTTTTTCATGTTTATTCATTTGAAACTGTCAAAAGTCACTCAGAACTGAGCTTGAACAAGAAGCAAGGTGAACAAGGTGGGTCACAGCTCTAGTCTGGCTTTGATGTTATGGACTGAATTACTTAGTGGTGTTCTCATAACCTGGCCAAGAAGGTAACTGCCCAAGGGGAACCACAGAAATAGCCTAAGTGAGGGAAGGCCAACAGGAGTAAATGTGTGGCTTCTGCAAGAGAAGTGCTTTTGACCAAGAAAAACTGCATTCATAAAATGAGTCCAGGCATGCTTGTTGAAAAGCCCTCTTATTCATTCATTCACTAATTTCATAGGATGCTCAACAACCATTATTGACCAAGCCTTGAGCACAGTGCTAGGAGCTGGAGACATTCAAACAAATAGGAGCCAGTCTCTTCCCTGGAGATCTCACAGTCTGGTTGTTGAGACAGACATTTTAACAGAGTATTACAAAAACTAAGTAAGCTCTTTGATAGAGACACGCACAGGCATCACAGAATCATGTGGGACTGTGACTAAGGGACTCAGTGCATCATAATCTATTTTGGGTCATGGAAACCTTTGGCAGTCTGGTGAAACTTATGGACCCTTTATCTAAATGATATTTTTAAATGAGTGATATAAAATACATATTATTATGGGAAACTAACTATATTGAACTATAGTTATCTAAACATTTTTAAAATGTGAACTTATGATGTACATGCTTCTTAATTAACATTAAACTAAGATCGAGTGGTGGGTCTAATAACTACTAGTTCCAAAATAGTGAAGAATGTAGTTAATATTTAGAGATCTTTGCAGCAACCACAATGTGGTATGAAAATATCTATGCTTTCTTTGGTGACAAAATCACAATCAATTTCAGTTAGAGGTTAATGAAAATAAAGATAATTTGCCCATCTTAAGACCCCCGGAATTTTATCCATGGATTCTTCAGGAGATGGTGAACCCTTGGTAAGAACCCCTTCTAATGGACGATGCCCAAGCTGAGTCTTAAATTAGTGGCTAGGCAGGAGAGTCTAAGAAGAGCCATGGGGATCCCCCAGGCCCCTGGTGCACAGAGGCGCACAGATAGGAAACATGGCAACTTTGGGGAAATTCAATCAATTTTCATTACTAATAATTGGTATTTCATAATATTATTTTTAGTGCTGATGATTTTCTTTCCTTCCATTTACTTTATTTCTGTAAATGAGCCAATGGAAGATTATCCACAGATAGTCCCTGTTCTCTAGGAGGTGTCAGCTTTGGGACAACGGTCATCCTTTTTAGCATGGTTTTCACAACACTTCTCAGAAGATTTGCAGAGTAGGAAACCTGGATTCTAGTTCTGGCTTCTGACATTATTTACCTCTTGTTATAGGGAAAAATATTCATTCATTTATTCATTTATTTCATCAATACTTCTTGAACATCTACTATGTGCTAGGCACTAAGGGTGCCAAGATGAGTAAGTCACAGATTCTATCTTCAAGGAGTTCACCATCTAGTAGAGGAGATAAGACTTGAATGTAAATACTCACAGCACAGGTAGCAGTGAGATAATGTACAAAAACCACATTGCCCTTTACTTAGGGCCTAGAAAGCATTCAATAAACAGTAGTTGTCTGAAGTTCTTTTGGATTCCTAGGAGGAAAGCAATACATCTCTCTGGAGAGCATTAGGAAAATCTTCCCGGTAAAGGTGACTTCCCCTTTCTGAGTCTCACTTTCCATACCTATGATACAACAGGATTTAGACTAAACTTTGGCAACCTCAGATGCTCTTTTCTGCTCTACCCTTCTACCACTCTACAGATTCAGGGTACGGGTTAGGGCGAAGAAAGTGGTGGTGTTCAGTAAAGGGTTAAGTCATCAGGCTTTGATTGCCCCAGCCCTGCTCATTCCAAAAGTCTTACAGATCAGCTTTCAACTAGCAACTGGCAAATTACCTCTGAGTCCCTGGAATATCCTGCCTGGTAAGAATATCTTTGGCTACCTAAAGCCTTGGGCCACAGCAGACAGTTTATGCTAACAACATGACTTATGTTGAATGCCTGTTTTTGTACACCTGGGACTTCGGGCTACATTGTATCAATTTGACTTCTAGGAGGCTGGAGTGTGAGTAGCTGAGGTCATTCAGGCAGGTGCTCCATGCCAATGCAGCTGAGCCTCCAGTAAAAAGCCTGGACACCAAGTCTTGGGTGAGCTTTCTTGGTTGACAGTATTCCATATGTGTTGTCACATATCATTGCTAGGAGAATTAAATGCTGTCCATATAACTCCACTGAGAGAGGACACTGGAATCTTGCGCCTGGTCTCTCCTGGACTCCACTCTATGTACCCTTTTCCTTTGCTCACGTTAATCCGTATCTGCAATATTGTAATTTATAAAATATATCTATTTAGTCATTCGGATGACCAAAATATATTTCTTATACGTATTTGGTCTTTGTCCACAGTTCCTGGCTGACAGCTCCCAAAACCCTTGGAACTTCCAAAGTGTTGGGGAGCCATCGAGGTTTCTTTTGTTATGTTACTGAAATGACTTTTGGAAAGCACTTAAGGATGGAGGCTGGTTGTCAGTGGAGCCAACCATGTGATGAGAGGGTTGAAACATTCAGTCCCACCCCTCCACCTCGAAAGAGGAGATGGACTTGAGATTGAATCAGTTACCAATGACCAATGATTTAATCACTCATGACTATATAATGAAGCCTCCACAAAAAGCCAAAAGGATGGGGTTCAGAGAGCTTCCTGGTTGGTGAACACATGGAGGTGGGAGAGTGACACTCCTGGAGAGGGATGGAAGCTTCACATCCTTTCCTCATACATTGCTCTATACATCTCTTCTGCGTGGCTGTTCCTGGATTATATCCTTTTGTAAGAAACCAGTAATCTAATAAGTAAAATGTTTCTCTGAGTTCTGCAAGCCGCTCTAGCAAATTAATCAAATCTGAGGAAGAGGTCCTGAGAAACTCTAACTTATAGCCAGTCAGTCAGAAGCCCAGGTAGCAACCTGGGCTTGTGACTGACATCTGAAGTTGAGTGAGTAGCGGGCAGTCTGGTAGGACTGAACCATTAACTGGGTAGATAGCGTCTCAATAGAGTTGAATTCTTGGAAATCCTGCTGGTGTTCGAGAGTTGCTCCAGGCTGCATTGGAAGCTCCCCATCCCCTCCACATGTTGGAATTGGTACTGTAACCAATTTAGTAGCTTCTGTTATTGGTGCATTGGGTCCTTATTGTCCCCCAAGATGAAAATCAAGAGAGACAACAAGCAACAGTGAGATGATAGAAAGTTTATTAGTTTGTGCACAAGGGAGCCAATCACAGAAAGGGAAGAAGAGAGAAAGAGAGAGGTGAGTGGCTCCCCAAATAGCCACACTGCAGGGGTTTTATCAGTCTGGGGCAGGGGATGTGTCTTTGGTCGTGGCATGTAGAGGTGGGGTTGTGCTTGCACGTGCGCTGTCACATAGCATTCTACTATATGTAATGTGTGTATTATTAGCATGCTAGCTCGCCACTCCTGGATGTGATTTTTACTATGCTAATGGGGCTAGAGTCATCTTCAGTGGACTCCTGGGTGCTAGGGCACATGGGTAAACCCAGAAAGTCCAGAGGCTGTGGAATGTGGATTTGGTGGCCTCTATCTGATTCTCCTAGCTTGCTGATTGGTTAGGGTCCTTATCTTGTTAGGCCAGGGGCCTTGAAGATGGCCCTGGCTCGTTAGACTGGTTCCTGTCTCATTTCTACTGTAAGTGTAATACATGAATATAACAGATTTTCTGAGTTCCATGAGTCCTTCCGGGGAATCATCAAACCTGAATGTGGTCTTGGGGAGCCCGACACAGGTGAGTAGCTTTTTATCACAAAGCCTTCCCTGCTTCCTTCAGTCCAAGCTGTTCTCTGTTTCCAAGCCACTCCAGAACCTACAGCAAAGTCTGTAACACGCATGTAAATTTAAATCAATGTCCAGTTATTTAACTGCCTCGTGCCTGGGTACTTTATCAACCAGACCCTCAATTCTGCAAAGCTTTGCTGGTATCTTATACGTCCATAGATTGCACAGAGCCAGGACTGCATGCCCAGTACGCTCTCAGACATAACCTGCTACAACAAAGTGAATTGCCTGGCTGTATGTGAGATAGCCTGCAGGGGAAAAAAATAAGTGGAATTCTTGCAGCTAATCAACTACACATGTTAAGGAGGAATAAACCAGGACCTTCACCTTGGTACAGAAGGCAAATAAGTTAGAAAGTAAAAGGATCAAGGGAGATTAGACAGGTATGACAAGGAATTGTCTGCCTAGA